TGTGGGTGAACTATCACTTTAATGTTTGACTTTGTCATAAAAGTACTGTAAAAGTTATGACTTCAAGGTATGACATTCTCAATTTTTGATTTATTAATTATTTAAAATATTACTACTTTAATATGACTTCATTCTTGTAATTTTGACTTTTATTCTCAAAGTATGACTACTTTAATATTGAAGTCTATTATAGTAAAAGTCCAATTTCAAAATTACAGCTTTATTCTCAAAATGTAAGTTTTTTTTTTTTTTTTATAAATTTTTAATGTAGCCATTGTGTTGTCTTTCAACATACTTTTTCATACATTTTATTATTTTCTTTTTTTTTTATAACTTAAGAGTCGGTTTGTTCTTTCATTCTAAAGAAAAGAGCTGCACAAAGATGATTCAAAAATTCAACTGAAAAATTCCACAGGTTTGAAACGAGGTAAACAATGACAGAAATGTCATCTTTGGGTGAATTATTCCTTCAAAATCACACATTAAAAATCTCCTTTCTCAAGATTTCCTCTAAAAAATATGATTTTCGCTGGTCCTAGGAATTCCCATGCGTAAATGTAATGCAAAGTTCTCCAAACATATCATTATGAGTCGTGGTGGTACAATTCCCAGTTTCTAAGTGCTAAGGAATGATAAAAGCGAGTCTCAATTTGCCTTCATGTTAAAAGTTCAAGTCAAATATTCATCCTTTGCCTGAATCACATTCCGATTTTTTTGTCCTCTAGAGTTGGGCATGTTGGTATCAAGTCAAACAATGTGTGCATCTGTTCAAAGAGTCAGAATAAGATGGGTGAAACTCTTTAAGAAAAGCATTTTTTGATTGCAGATGCAGACGTTCGTCTCTTGGAACAGAACAGAGCTGTCGCAAACTCCATCTTATTTACATTTTCTTTTTTTCCCACCCCACACACATACGCCGCACTGTTCTAGAAACGCAAAAGGGAAGGGAAAAGAGCCCAAAAAAGAGTGTCTTTCAATGCCAAGGTGCCAGGGCCTTCTTTTAAGCCGTAAATGTTCTGACGCAGGAGAAGAGAAGGCGATAATGAGCGCTGAGCTCCTTTCCAAGACGTCCGTATTGTTTTAATTGTTCGAGCCACATAACGGAAGAGAAGCGAAGTCTCTGAGCCGCAGCGCCAGCATTTAAAAAAAGAACAAACCTGGCTTTTTCCAATGTGTTGGAGCAATTATGTACAAACCCTGTAATTATGTATCTTTTTGAAACATGTAAAGCTGTATGGAAATGAGTCTGGGCCGATTTAACTCCACCCCCCACCCCACCGGCAGTGCATTGTTTGATATTTCAGACAGTTTTGGAAAAGTAATGGGGACTTTAAGTCAAGGTTTTGTCTGAGCATGTGCATGTACGAACGTGGGTGTGAGCGCGCTGAGCTAAAAGGGGAAGCTTTAGGCACCGGCAGTGTGATATTTCAGACAGTTTTGGAAAAGTAATGGGGACTTTAAGTCAAGGTTTTGTCTGAGCTCTGAGCAGTACGAACGTGGGTGTGAGCGCGCTGAGCTAAAAGGGGAAGCTTTAGGCCGTTTATTGCGGGAAACGGTGAGAAAGTGCTACAAAAACACACCCAGTGCGAAACTCCTTCTTCCCTTCCTCCTGCTTCGTCATCTCTTTCCCCTCCCCCTTCGTGCACGAGGTCCCACCCTTAATTAAGTCTGCTGGGGTTTAAAAGTGTTGAATCTTGTTTAAAGACCATCTCAGCACATTTAGAGGACCGCGCGGGTGCACGCGCACGCATGTTAATCAGGCCATCCGCTGGCATTTGAGTGGAAATCTTATTTTCAGACAGATTCACCCCCCACACACACAGACACACACACACTTGTTTTCCCAGCGATTTCTGAAAAGATCAGCGTGTCTAGAGATGAGAAAGCCTGGCCAATTGTTCCCGCCTGTAAGTGAGAATATCTCTGCTCAGCACCTCTGTTTCGTGCAATTACCACTCGTTAATCCTTTCAGAAAGAAATTAAATTACTTTTATCAAGGTTATTTCATACTTGATAGACAGCGCTGATGCGAGGGTGCAATGAAAGCGGCCGTTTTGTGTTTCTGGCCAAATAATTGAGCTACGCCTGCTCTTCCAGGAGAATGGTCTTCCCAGAACCACGACAAAGCGACTTGTAACAGCTCTATGAGCAACCAATAATGGGGACATTATTCCGGTTCACCAGGAGCTAAGCACCTCTAGAGTTGGGCATGTTGGTGTCAAGTCAAACAATGTGTGCATCTGTTCAAAGAGTCAGAATAAGATGGGTGAAACTCTTTAAGAAAAGCATTTTTTGATTGCAGATGCAGACGTTCGTCTCTTGGAACAGAACAGAGCTGTCGCAAACTCCATCTTATTTACATTTTCTTTTTTTCCCACCCCACACACATACGCCGCACTGTTCTAGAAACGCAAAAGGGAAGGGGAAAGAGCCCAAAAAAGAGTGTCTTTCAATGCCAAGGTGCCAGGGCCCTCTTTTAAGCCGTAAATGTTCTGACGCAGGAGAAGAGAAGGCGATAATGAGAGCTGAGCTCCTTTCCAAGACGTCCGTATTGTTTTAATTGTTCGAGCCACATAACGGAAGAGAAGCGAAGTCTCTGAGCCGCAGCGCCAGCATTTAAAAAAAGAACAAACCTGGCTTTTTCCAATGTGTTGGAGCAATTATGTACAAACCCTGTAATTATGTATCTTTTTGAAACATGTAAAGCTGTATGGAAATGAGTCTGGGCCGATTTAACTCCACCCCCCACCCCACCGGCAGTGCATTGTTTGATATTTCAGACAGTTTTGGAAAAGTAATGGGGACTTTAAGTCAAGGTTTTGTCTGAGCATGTGCATGTACGAACGTGGGTGTGAGCGCGCTGAGCTAAAAGGGGAAGCTTTAGGCCGTTTATTGCGGGAAACGGTGAGAAAGCGCTACAAAAACACACCCCGCGTGAAACTCCTTCTTCCCTTCCTCATGCATCGTTGTCTCTTTCCCCTCCCCCTTTGCGCGCAAGGTACCACCCTTAATTAAGTCTGCTGGGGTTTAAAAGTGTTGAATCTTGTTTAAAGAGCACATCTCAGCACATTTAGAGGACCGCACGGGTGCAGGCGCACGCATGGTAATCAGGCCATCCGCTGGCATATGAGTGGAAATCTTATTTTCAGACAGATTCACCCCCCACACACACAGACACACACACACTTGTTTTCCCAGCGATTTCTGAAAAGATCAGCGTGTCTAGAG